CTATCGATAAAAACCTGAGAAGATGTCAAAACACCCAAAAATTAGTCAAAGCGATTGACTCGATTATATATGCTTAAAATAGGAGACAATTGACGATCTGATTCGGAAGCACGGGATGGCGTCAGCGAATCCGGCACTTACGCCGGGCAGCGACGACTGTTTAGATAAACTCACTTCATGCAGCATCATTCTAGCGAAGTTATTGAACATGGGAGGTCAAAAACCAAGTCGTCCTGGTCTATCTTTTCGATTAATTGTGGGTTACAGGATTTAGTCGGCCCCCAAGCATCACCTTAGCAAATCACAAATTAACATGAAACACTTATATTATAAAAACGCAATAGTAAGAATTGTTCAAGAAATTGCATGATACACCCGTGATACCAAGGGCATGCAATTCAAGATGCGAACAGTGTCAACAATGATTTAGCGATTACACTGGGGAATATAAGCGATGCAGACTTCGCCACAAAAAAGGCGACAGTAACTTCTTCACCAAAGCAGTAATAACAGTGAACAAAATGTCCGTGAGTTGGGACGCAACGGAGCAAGGAGGTGAGTCGCTCTATTTTGTGGAGACTGAGTTTGCAGCAACGTCCAAGACGGATGCAAGCGTCTTGGAATCCAAGAAATTTTGATCTTAGTGGGTTATCCGATCACTACGCTTGTGGAGATGATGTGGAAATTAAGCTGCAATCTGGCAAAAAAAATGTGAAGGCGAGGATTCGTTCTTTTATGCAAAGAATTTTGATGCTCGCCTCAAGTTTGTGAATGAATTTTCTCGTGGCGGCATTCTATGATTGTGGTAATTTCGGTACGAAATGACGCTTGCGGACCTACTGAAAAAGCGAACAGACCATTTCAAGATCGTTATGTTGCATCCGCAAGTGCTTAATTTATTGCTGATACCTAAAAAGCGATTGTGGGAAGGATTGTAGAAGATGGAGACACTAGAGAAAAGGTCCAATACGCATCAATGAGAACATGTTATGTATACCCAGGATTGCGGACGTGATGATGGTCTGCCTTATCTAAGTGTAGTTACAATTCTACGTCTATCAGGGCCGTATTATAACCTATAGTGACTGTATCAGACATGGGCTTTCTTTTCACGTGTCACCATTGCTTAGTCGCACTGGACAAGAGAGGAAGACATACTGCCACGCGTAACTAATTGTTTTAGTTCCAACGCATGCTGGAAGCCGGTCTTAACGCTGTCGGCAAGTACAAATAAATCATTAAAACACTTTACCTCTTTGCCTTGAGATTCTGCCTCACAAACGGTATCGAGGAAATTATCGGATCTATACCACATTATTCATTTTGCAAGAAAAAGTTTGTACCAAGTTTTTGTCCGAAGAAATGGAGATTGCGCTTCATCCTGTAGCATCTGTCCAAATGGCAGGATTATTAGCTTCGGACCGACTTTGACAAGGAGCTGTTCTTTAACATTGCTTCCCGCCAGTCAATACCAGGGTATATCAAACGGACTTGGAGAGAGATCACATCGTCTACCATATTTAGAAAGTAATTACTGACAAAGTCGTTAGTTAGATTCTGTGGTATCCCGAGGATGTAAAACTCCCGCGTTTGAAAGACGCGATGCGCATGTTCACTCGTTAAAAGCCGACAGGTGACTAAGCATTAACTAATCAGAGGCCTTTGGCATACAATCTGGCTATTGATAATTTTAGCATCGGCGTCAGCATGAGGCAGAGCGCCATAGCAATTCAGGCTACCAAGTAGGTGACATATAAATTACATCTCGCCGGCATGGATAAATTAAGGTCGCCACTTTTGTCCGCGTGCAATGTGCTACAAATCTCAAAACAATTTTAAAGCATTATTTCGTTGGGCGTATTTCGTTGCTCTGGTAGCATCTGTATGCCAAGGAATGTCTTATGTTAAAGCTTGTGGCTGGCTTGTCTAAAAATGCGAGCTATACAATTTGTGAGTCATATTTGTCCCGACCTTGGCTCAAAAATCTGTGTCTCTCACTTTGAGATGCTCTGCGAGATGTTCGGCTTCCTCATTCCCTATTGAAGGCAAAATCTGTTCGGTTCATGTTCGTGTGAAGCGCTGAACATGACCGGCGTGATATCTGGTATCATTTTTTCGTGCAGCAGGCTAGTTTCGGCGTTTACTTCGAGTGTGGTATCTGCATCACCATCTGTACATTCTGCCTAAGCAGCGTATTAGTATCTTGTCCAGGCGCAGTTGTGGGAGATGATCGACGCCAAGATCTCACTCCTCCTGAGACAGCAGACGCTAGTTGCTGAATGGGCTAGTTTTAACTTTAGTCAACGATCAAGTGTTGGCACGCCATGTTCCTTCTCACCTTCGAGGTTTAAGAACATTGGCATAAGATCATAGCACACGACGCCGATATTCCTGCTCCGCGTCGTACCAGTGAGCTTACAAGTGTTGTGTGTTAAATTTTGTTGTTATAGACCAATGTGATGAAAATAAAGTAATTGAAGGATTGTTGGATTGAAAACAACGAACGGTCATTGAAATGGATCGATCGGCTGTCAAGCTCCGCAATATTGAGATTAAATTTTGAATTACTTGGATCAATTATCGATTTGCCAGAATCAATTATTAAGATGCCAGAATAGAGAATACATGAGATAATCAAAATAGAAATTGATCGGAGGTCGATCGGGTGACCCGCGATCAAGGTGTTCAATGGTCGATTAGGAGAAGACCACATGTGCAAAGGAATGATAAACCTAATGCAGAAGACACGCGGCAGCATATCCTGGTGTACAGACAGGCACAATGGCAAAATAAGCGGTTGGTTACTTAACGTTGCACGGATTTCTAATTGCTTCTAAATACACGTGTCGACTTCTCTCCGGGCTAGAAAAATGGCCTCCCAACGTCTACAACCTATACTGAAACCAAGTGATTGTCCCAGATAATTGTCTAGAAATCAAAATTTCACAATGCAAACCAAACTGCGATCGTGTACAGCAAGAACGTAAAGGAGATGGTGCAAGATCGCGAGCTGGCCTAAGTGGTCAGAAGTCTCGCGCATCGAGCAATTACGTTGTGGAAAAGGCGGTCTCGCTAAGATCTAGGTGGCACATCAATTAACCTACCATTACACTCTTAATCGTGCGGAGATTTCTCGCACGATCACAAACTCTATTCCCAAGATGGTCCAGTTTTCTCTCGAAACGAGTCCATCGATAAAAATTGCAGCCCGTTCTGTAACGGGGCACCCTGAAGCTTGTACTGATGACAGTACAAGCTACTTATTTAGACGACAGAATAAGGCGGTGCCTCGTTACTTCACATACACTGTTACGTGCAGAGGAAGATGGTAAGAAGAAGCGAGTACTTGGTTAAAGTAAAAAGTAGAACTGTATTTATAATAGTTAATGTCTGCAATAAATCACTATTTATCTTCATCTAACTATGTCTGAATACAAATGTGCGTATCAACGATCTGCTCACCACTCATTGCGTGCGTCTGTCGTGGCGCGTCTTCGTTGGTTGATATAATGGCATATATCAACCAATTAGGAACTACTCGTAAGTGCTGCAGAATATTTGTCCTTATGACAATATTCTGAGAATATAACTCTTATAGTTATATTCTATTAACAATTTCTTATAAATTGTTATGTAACGATTCACCCCGTTACATCACCCCCCCCTTAACCATCAATCACTTTAGTGACTGATTGACTAAATGGATACTCGTCCCAAATCATTTGGGACAGGGTTTGCACTTGTTGGTCCGCGTCCACTTTCCAACATCTCATCGCATGGTTAACAAGCCCATGCGATGCGCGAGCAAGGCCGCCGAGAGCGCGTCCGCACGTCTCTGTGCGGACGTCGAAGCAGAAACCACAGCAACCGATGCCTCATCGGTTGCTGAAGTGACCCAGCCTGTGTCACTTGGTGATGCAGACGCTGGTCATGAAGACACTCATGTCTTCACAGAGTACGAGCTCGGTGTCTCGTACTCTCCTGGTACGGAAGACGGATCCGTATCGACGGCGATTGAATCCAAGCCGCCTGCCAAGCGTGGCATGGACGATGCTTTGCGTCGCAGCATCTTTGGTTCATCTGATGAATCAGATGAACCATCGCCGAAGCGTAGGCGCTCGAGGTCGCGAGACTCGGGCGCTAACAGTGGTGTCGGTTCTCCTATGGACACCACTTCGCAACGAGGTGCCAGTACTTCTGTCGGCACATCGCAGGAAGAGCAGGACCGCAATGTCTTGCGTCTCGCCCCCGAGAAGAAGGAATGGATGCCTCCTAAATCCGTCATGGATCACTTGTCGGCGACGACGAGTGATCGTTATCGAACACGATTGTTCGATTCATCAAGGATCCATCACCTTGACCCCAGCGCGAAAAACTATCGCGCTGAGAATGAGTTCTTCATCGATGCTTTCTTTAGACATCGATGGTACAGTGGGAATCACAAGCGTGATGGTCCCTCACTGCTTCAGGCGTGGAACGCCTACATCCATAACCTTGAGGATGTAGGTCGTGACGCTTGGAACGACAAACTTATCAAAGCTCGTGATAAGTTTGAAAAGCGAACCCCGACAGGTGCACGCTACAAGCTGCAACGTCTGTCAAGGGAGAAAGGATTACCCTGTCTCTTCTGGGGAGACTCGTGCCCATGTTGTGTGAGCAACTCTGCGCGCGCACCTAAGGAGGCTTACCTCCTTAATAGCCCGTGGTGACGCGTACGTATCTCTAGTGAGATGTACGAAGGGATTGACAACCTGAAATCCCTTTACGACCGTGCCGGGAAGACTTTCTCCGGCGGTCCTTCTGCGGCAAAGGATGTGCCGCATCGTACTGCTCGACCAGACCCAGTACGTCAACCATAAGTTGGGAGCGGGGCTCCCAAGTATCCCAGGACGGGGGATAGCCGCGCCACCGGACAAGATAACTCGTCCGACGTCCGTTCACGTCGCGGTGGTTCAACAGCTGCTCAACCAGATAGCGCTGGCCACCGCGAGAGTCCTCTAATGGAGGTGGAGGAGGAGGAAAAACGCTCTCCACACAATCGTGGGCAAGCGTGTGTCCCTGAGAGCTTCTTTGATCGCGTAACGCAAGGGTTACGCAACGATCTCGAACATGAGCGGGACAGGCGTCTCCAAATGGCGGACACTGTCTTGAAGCATCGAGCTGAGTTTGCCTTTGCTCAGCTTGAGAACGAGAGATCTCTGACATCTCTTCGTGACGAGCTAAGGGTAGCTCGTGGGATTGTTGATCGGTCTCGGGATGAGATAACTGCTCTTCAGACCCTTGTTGATATCCACCATCGGGAGCACAAGGCCCTCAGTGAGTTGCTTGGGCGCAAGGGCGTTCTTCATCGGAAGAAGCAGCGTACTGATGGTACGGCTTAAGCCGACCAACGTAAAACGTGGGATGCGTTCGCATCTTACGTGGCAACTCGATCGTGTAAGCATTGCCTAGGCGGTGCAATACACGAAATGGGCCGATGTACTTGGGTAGTAGTTTACTGCTACCCAAGTTAGTCACTACATGCTTTGGTAGATTAACCGAGACAGTAGGACTAAGTCACCTTTATTAAATAAAAGAGTGTTTGCCCTTCCATTCTTGTCAGCGTTTTGCTTTTGCTTATCCACCGCTTCGGCGATGGAGTCTTGCACAAAACGGACTACCGTTTCACGAGCTAGTATGAACTCATCTGATGACTCGTTAGCTTCAGTGTGCTGTGAGCGCACTGCAGCAACATCAACCTTTTCTTCAGTGAGGGCTTCCGCACTCTCACTGGGATCATCTTCTTCAGTGAGGGCTTACGCACTCTCACTGGCATCATCTTCTTCGATATCGATGTTATCGATATCGGCATCAAACGCAATGACTTCTTCGTCAGAGCGTGATGAGCGTGAACCAATTCGGTTTTTGCTCGCGCGAGTCTCTCCCCCCCTTAAACCAGAGTTACACTCTAGTAAGGTGGGTACACGCGGATGGCGCAAGCCATTCACGTAAAACGGTGTATGTGTCGTGGACGCATGTACCGAGTTGTTAATGGCAAACTCTACCATTGGCAAAAACTCACTCCAACTCTTAAAGGAGTGTACGTATCCTCGAAGTATCTCTTCAAGGACACGATTGGCACGTTCCGTCTGACCATCTGACTCTGGATGATCAGATGTCGACATCTTCAAGCGCGTTCCGAGTGATTTGAACACGGAACGCCAGAAATCAGCAGTGAATCGTGGATCTCTGTCTGATACGAGTTCACGGGGCAACCCATGAAGTCGGAAGATGGTGTCAATAAAGACACAAGCACAGCCACTTGCCGTGATTGTCTCTGGTACAGCCACAAGGTGTACCATTTTGCTGAATCTGTCAACAAATACAAGAATACCCGTATTCCCGCGTGCGTCTTTGGGTAACCCGAAGACAAAATCCATTGAGATGGATTCCCAGCACTCAGCCGGAACCGGTAGAGGCTGTAAAGGTGCACGCAGTGAAGGACTTGACTTCACTCGTTGACAGACTTCACATGCGCGAACATACTTTCGCACAAACTGATACTGGCGGGGCCAGTAAAAGTCTCGACTCACCGTGAGATATGTTTTCTCTCGGCCACGATGTCCTCCTATAGGAGCATCGTGATACTCGAACATGATCCGCAAACGCAGATCAGTACCATCTGGAATGACAACACGTGGTGTGTCACCAGAAACGGCTGTATAATACAGTAAACCGTTACGAGTAGTGTATATTTCTGTTTCAGATCGATATGCAGACGATGATCGTTTCAACGATTCTCGAGATGGTTGTGAGAGATGTGTCAACAACTTCACAATTGCGGCGAATTGGTCATACGCCCGCCTCACATCATCATGTAACGTTGAAGATGGTATTGAGGACGTCATAACCGCAACAGTGACTGTCTCACTGTTGGGTTTCGCGACTGTTTCAAAGTCGGGCCGACGTGAGAGTGCATCAGCGACGACATTAAGTCGTCCTGGTTTGTGCTCTACCGTATTGTTGCATTCTGCAAAGAATGAAAACCACCGCGCCATTCGTTGTGAAAGTTCGGGCTGTTTATTGCCGTGCGTAACGACGCATGGTCTGTGTAAACAATGAAGGGTCTATCTCCTAATAGATAGACTCTAAACTTCGCGATTGCAAACTTCATGGCAAGGAGTTCCTTGTCATGCACTGGATAGATCCGCTCAGCTGGTTGCAGCTGACGCGACTGATAGCAGACGACGCGTTCAACGCCTTCAAGATCGTACTGTATTAATGCACAGCCGATTGCGAAATCGCTGGCATCACAGACCACATGAAATGGCCTGTCCTGATCGGCAATTGCTAGGACTGGGGATTGTATCAAGCTCTGCTTAATACCATCAAAGGAGCGTTGACATTCAGCGTTCCATAACCACCTCTCGTTCTTTTTCAACAAACGAGAGAGGTTTACAGTCATCTCGGCGTAATTGCGTGAATACTTGTGCAAATACGCCGCTAGCTTAAGGAATTTTCGAAGACCTTTGACATCAACCGGCACAGGCCAGTCGGTGATCGCCTTGATCTTTTCGGGATCAGGACGTACTCCGTTCTTACCAACGATGCACCCAAGAAGTGGTATTTCGCTTGCTGCAAAAACACACTTCTTGAGATTGGCATACAATTGATGCTTTCGCATGATTGTAAGAACCTGTCGGACGTGGTATCTGTGAACCTCGACGTCCGACTTTCCATCCATAGCTCGACTATGGATGAATACGTCATCGAAATAACTCGGCACGAATTCTCGTACTGGTCTCAACAGATGTGATACACATCTGTTGAACGTGGCAGGGGCATTACTAAGCCCTGGTGGCATTACTAGCCATTCCCAGAGCATGCCGCTAGGCGTGCTAACTACGGTATAGGGTATATCCCGCTCTCGCATAAGGATTTGATAGAAGCCATCCACCAAATCCATGGACGAAAAGATGGTACTCTTTGACATACCATCAATGATTACGTCCTTCCTTGGTATCGGCGTCTGAGCCGGTACCGTTGCAGCATTCAACTTGTTAAATGCATGCACTATCTGCCACCCTCCTGTTGCTTTTCGCACACAGAAGGTCGGAGAGCTATGTGGGGAAGTTGATTCCCTCACATGGCCCGCAGCTAAACGATCGGCAAAGAACTTGTCGATCGCAAGTACTTGTTCACGAGGCAGCGGCTACTGCTTCATGACACAGTACTTCGAGCCTGGTTTAAGCTCGACTACGTGTCGAGTACCTTTATCCTTCGGTAATTCGCACGGAACAGTTTCAGGGAATACATCCTTGAATTCAACCAAATCTTCATAGAGAGGATTTTTCTTGAGCGATTCCCACGATTGAGAGTCATATCGCTCAACTCGTGTCTTTTCATCGAGGACACTCTCGTCCATAGATGAACTACTGAGAACTCTCTCGTTCTCAGTAAACACTGTTGCTGACCTTATGTCGGCTACACTCTCGTCGTCAGCGACGAGTATGCAGATCTGCTTGACTTTTCCACTACGCAGATCACGCAAGAACCTTTTACGCTCGAGCGTTGGCAACTGAGTGATCTCCGAAGTCAACTTCGGAGGCGCAATCAGATCAAGTGGTAAGCGCCCACACTTGATCCATCATTGACTATGACATTCAGTGCCTCTGTCATTTCCTGGGGACTTATTCCCTCAGGCTTCGAAGGACTTATTCCTTCGGCTTCCCGGGGACTTATTCCCGCGGGTTTCGGGGAACTTATTTCCGCCGTATTTGTAATCTTGGGACTTATTCCCATAACTTCCTCTAGCTGGGGTTGCGCAACCACAGCGAGATCCTCTACGAAAGACTCTCCAGTCGATCTAGGATTATCGTTTCGCTTAACCTGAGCGATCGATTGTTTCTCTTCTAGATGTTCCCCGCTAGGGATACATCTTTGTCCCAGTCCACCCGACTTATTCGAGTGGTGGACCTTCGGCGCAGCCTGTGTTTCCTCACAGCCGCCGGAACTTTGCTCCGAAGTGTAACCGTTTGGTACACTAAGGTTTCGTGCAGTCGTACTAACGACCGTACCACAAGTGAGGCCATCGCACTCACTCGTAGTGCATCCACACGCTTGTGGACGCTCCAAAACGTTCATCAGATGGCCATCTGATGAACAAGCGGCAGGCATCGTTGCTGTTCGATGTTGCCAGTTAACTCGTGGTTCGTACCTTCTGAGCCACGGTATTCCAAGGATGACATCAAATTTGTCATCCAAATCCAATACGATAAAGTCATCGTCATATTGGGTATCTTCTAGCGTATAGTGGATCTTCACTATACGCTTTATGACGGTTACGGATGCGCCTGTCGCAAGACCTACCGTCATCCTCGTAGGAGGTGTGTCACATTCACTGAATTTAAAGTGACCATCTTCTAGCGATTGGCGTCGCACAAAATTGTTGGACGCCCCACAATCGACTAGATCTCGAAGGGACAACTTATTTGTCACTTCGAGTTTCAAGGCAATGAGTGAGATCTCATTACCTAGAGCAGCAACGCACAACGTTTGTGTGTTGGGAGCAACCTTCATCAAGAGGCCTACAAATTCTCTTGACGTTGCTGGATCAGTAGGATGCTCCGCACCTACTGATCCTGTCCGTTTTTTGACGGTCCATCCCGTTGTTGCGTCTTTGCACCAACTGCGGACCCTCGTCCCTGCCCCTTTATCATGGGTGGACTGTCACTACGCCCAGTGTCGCGAGACACTGGACGAGGGGCACTACACTCGTAAGCGTAGTGTCCTGTCTTTTGACATCTGTTGCATCTCTGCAACTTCTTGTAGCCTGTAGAGCGAGCCTTCTCGCTCTCTACATGACAGAGTTCCATCGGCTCTGGGCCTCCGTTGTCATATCGTCTCGGTTGACGATATGATGTCGAGCTGGCGCGAGCCTGTCTCAGACTGAAGTCTTCCTGTTCCGCGATGGAAATGGCTTGTTCTAGTGAATCTAGTTCAATTCGGAACAGTTGAGTCTTGACGGGACCATCCGCAAGACCCTGCATGAACACCGAAACCAACATGTGTTCATCAACCGGGTTCAAACTTATACAACTCGTGAGATGTCGTATATGTTGTGCGTAAGCGTGCACATCACGCTTACCCTGTTTGAGCTTCAAGAGTTCGGTTTGAGCTCTGAACTCAGCTCTAGGCGGTTCAAACGTTTGTCTGAGCCGCGACTTGAAGACTTCCAACGACCCAAACGCATATGGGTCGTGCAACTTGAGCCCCAGTGCCCAAGTCTTGGCACGTCCTGCCAGATTTGACTGGGCAAATGCAACTTGCATATCCCCGTCGTCGATGCGACTCGCCCTTATGGCGTCATCCAATTCGACGAACCATCTCAAGAGGGAGTCCT